AAGATAAATAGAAAAAATGAGCAATAAAGATAACTCTGATAACAAAAATTACAATACTAAAAATATTATATTAAATTAATACTAGTAATGCCACAATACAATGAAATAGACAAAGGGGTAACAACTTTCTGACGAAGAGACTGGACGAGACTAATAATTTATCTGGCAAATTAATATTTATCTTTATGTCACAAATATAGAATACGCCACTTTTTAGTATAATCACAGTACTCAGCCCATTGGCTATGTTGTACATGATGAAGAGATTAGTAGATCGATCTCACCATTCGCTGATTCGCATTGTACTTCTATACGAAATGAAAGTGTTCACATCAATCTAATCTCAGGAGATTCTTAGAAACCCACATTTTATTCGTATATACTCCTCTTTTTGTCCTGACACATCTAACTACTCTCTACTCTCTTATCTCCCTCCCGCCCTATCACAACTTCTGATTCGTTATATTTGATATGTACGTGTCTTTAAAGGCTTGAGAAAAGTTCCTCAAATAAAATGTATACTTGGATTAGAGCCGAGTTAAATCAGTCAAACATAAACGGATATACTGGTCCATGAGGAAGTCTCGTGCAGTAGGTTCGAGTCGGATCAGCAAATGAGAGAAAGGGGAAGAAGGTAGAGAACAAATGTGCCAACACAATACTAAACTCACCAAGAGAGCCACCCCTCTAGAGATCATCTTATGTAGACGGGTTGGAAGTTGTGGTAGGGCGGGAGTGAGATAAGAGAGTAGAGAAGAGGTAAATGTGCCAGGACAGAAAGGAGAGAGATAGCACAACCGTTCAAAAGGTAGGTCAAGGGAGTGTGACTTCATTTGTCTCTTTGACGAATAGTAGTTTGGTGCTGAGAATGGCAATGCACGTCTGGGAATGTACTAAGTCTAAGATCCAACGCTGGAAATTATGATAACTACTATAATAGAGGATTTCGGACAAGGTACGTCCAACTATGTCGCCCTGACAGCACGAACAAGTTGCGAAAACGAGATCAGACGATATCTAGATCGAATACCTCGCTAAAAATTTATTTTGCTACCAATATTTACGACACAAAATAGAAAGAGATAAGATTAACAGGGAAGAATGCATCTTAATTTAAAACTGGAAAGAAACCGACCCGGTGAAAAAGGCCAGCAGCTTCTGCGAATACGCTTCACTGCCTCCAGATCAACCTGGATTGCCGTTTCTAGGAGATAGATGAGCCGGGGTGCCCATAAAGCAGAACCGGAATTGCGGATGCCAAGGCTTGATAACTTGCATTTGGAATTCACTGATGGAAGCAATGATGCACTTTCGTCTATTGGCTTGGGCAAAAGGGCACGCTGTAAATGAACTGCACGTTCAAGTCCGACGCCGACAGGAGGTACTACAACCACTAACAAAGGTAAAAGCGAGGCAGCTACAGCAGTGGCAGCGGCAGCAGCAGCTGCAGCCGCAGCCGCTGCGTTTGAGGCTGCTGAATCGGCAGTAGAATTGACTGCTACCTCTTCAGATGACGGTGTCCCGTGAACTGAATCAGCAGTCGTTTGACAGCCAGATTTAGGTGCTGTAACCGCTTCGTCTGTTCCTGTCGTCACTGGAGGATTAGCAAGTCCAAAAGCCGATTTGGCGGTTCGCTCATTGGTTCCTGCTTCTTCTCCAGATGTGACACCAGGACTACCAAGCGAACTGGCAGTCACAGCGGCCCCACTGCTAGCTCCTGCACTAGCAGCTGCGGCAGCAGCAATTGAGGTGTGTGGGAGTCGTGCTCCATGCGGTAGAAGAGCCTCTTCGATACGTACAGCCAAACAATGAGCCAGTGCACGTCTGTCTGGATCAGGATCCAGATCCTGAAATGAGGCTAAATCAGCAGCGCCACAGATTTTCTCAGTCAGAGTATCCTGTTCTGATACTGGTGATTTCTTGGAGGTAGAGCAGAGTTCAGATGGCTGAAGTTGCGCGTCCGAGGCAAATGCTGCTGTCGATTGTGGCGAGGATATTATTCGAGCATTTGGGGTGAGTATCTGGTGCACAAAGGCAAGCAACTGGAACCAGCTCACGGCTAAGGGGTAAATTATAGACGAAAAAATTATTAATGTACCAAAAAGTAAATAAAGATATCTTTCGCCACAAGGCTTCTGAAAGTGTAGCAAGAATTAGGCGATTTGAAGATGTGGAAATATGTACAACTAAGCGAATTCAAGACAAAAGTGATGTAAAATGCATATATTCACGTTTAGTTAGACTCGATGGTTCATTTTATATAAGAGCTGTATTAACCCTAGTTCGTTAAAGTGATGAAGGATTAGCAGGTTGTTTATCCAGTGTAGTATATCCTAAGAAAAAATTTGGAGAAACGAAACAATCATTTTTACCTTGCATGTTTATGTTGTTGTTTATCAGTGCTAATAAAAATATGCATTCGTATAAGTCTATTCCAACAATATGATGCGAAATGCCATTCGATTTATCGAAGTGACAGGATGCTTTTGCTGATTCTGAAGGCAGTGGGAAAGGATGCACTTATCGTCTAGTCATCAACTGATTTATAGCAAAATAGAGGTCACAACACTATTATGGTATTGTATTTGTGATTCTCTCAGGCCTGTCCTAGAAATATGGACAATGTTTAAGGATGCTATGATGTGAGAACGGAATCATTATAATAAATTTATGCGAGATATATAGTATTTCGTTTTCAAATGCTTTCCACCGACTTTATTTATTCAAATATATAAACTCTCATAGTGTTTAGTGACAAAAAAAATTAAATAGAAAAAACAAACTTGAGAAGCACGAACCAAATTTGCGAAAATGAGGAGATCAAGATGGTGAAGACTTTACTATAGTTGTGGTCTCATTTCGTTTTACCTCGTGTTCGCATCGTGATCGAATTGTCAGACGCCTAGATAAACGCGTCTTGTTCGGAGTCTTCTGTGATAGTATTCCGGATAATTGCCAGCGCCAGAATTTGGAGTTAGTACATATCCAGACGTTTTGCCGATATGAGTAAGCCTTGCTAGAGCTTGCACCACACTACAACTCGTCAAAGAGTTAGGTGAAGTAATCTTTTAACCAACTGCCAGCTGAACAGTTGTGAAGGATAGGCCGCATATGGTGAGAATAAAAGAAAGCGCAGGATGAGAAAGGTCGTTGATATCAAGAATGAACAGGAGAATGGAATAAGACAGAATTGGCGCAAACGTTGCGTATTGCCCAAGCAAATTCAGAGATCGAAAAACAAAAAGATTAGTAAAAAGACGATTCGATCAAGAAAGTATTTTGGACATGAAGAAAAGGAATCGCAAGGAAGAGGCCATCGAGGGAAACTCGGAAATCAAAAGAAGACGTCTGTAATGAGCCTAATCAAAGTAGATAAGTAACGAGAGCAATTGAGGGTTAGCACATAAGAGACTATGGAATAGGAAAGCCATAGACTTAGAGTTATGGATAGAAGCATAAAATGAAGCGAGGACCAGTCTAAGTTGGCATGAGAAAGACTCTGATAGGACTTGGATGAAGCAGATTGTATACTAAAAGGACCTTGTTGGATCAACACTTCCGGTACAATGGAAGGTGAGGTAATCAGCGGTGATACGAGTATGGGATAGATAAATGTGCCAAGACAAAAGGAGAAATACAACTGCAGGTTCTGCAGACAGTTATCCAGAGGATGGACTTTATTTATCTCTGACGAATTGTAGTGTGTTGCTAGTACTGGCAATGCTCACTGAAGATACTGACTATGGTGCTGGCGAAACGTTTGGGAATTACAGTCCGACACTTAAAATTATCATGCATACTATGGCAGAGGAATCGGGACAAAGTGAGTATATCCAGACATCTCTGGCCATGCGCTAAAGTTGCGAAAACAAAGTCGAACAACTTCCATAAAATGAAATGGAATTAAACAAGCAAAAATAGTCTTTGAATAAATTAAAAACGAAAAAACGCCTATACAGTTAGATGCATAAAGAATAAGAAATAAATTGGGTAGTTTAGGCTTCCTTAGTTGAGATCGAGACTGAAAATATAAGAGGTAATGCCCTTATTTCAGATTTACTAAGCTCAAAACCCCAAAGGCATTTATGGATGGACATTTTCCAAGAAAAATATTTTGCAATATACCTATTCAACAGTAAGATTCTGGGGGAAGAAAATTACTACAATGGCATTACCAAGCTGCAGATTGAGCCGAACCTAATATATGCAAGACAATGGTGCTGTGATAAATCACAAGTCCATGCATCTCTTAATTTTTATAAAGCAAGCTCAGTTCATAATGATGGTTCGACCTTGTTTTCGCAACTTCGTCGGTCATCAGGGAGACCTTGTTGGACGTACCTAGTCCCGTGTCCTCTGCTATAGTAATCGTGATTTCCAGCATTTGACCGTTGGCTGGATAGATTCACAAACGTTTCGCCGGCATCGTCTGTGAAAGGCGCCATCGTAAGCACAGAGTTACAACTTCTCAAAGTGACAAGGCAATCCCCTTGAACCATTTTCTGTTCAACCGTTGTGGCATCACTCCTTATCCCTATTTGTTTGTTCTACCCTATAA